CCTGAGTATTCCATCTGGCAAGGTCCACATGTATAGCCAACATTTATGTTGCTGAAAAAAGTCTTTGCAATGAATGAGTTGTTGGTCTTGCAAAATTCTATCATGCAATCTCTGGTGTCATTTCTATCACCAAGGCCATATTTTCCAAATACTGATGATTCTTCTTTGTTTCCAACTTTTGCATTCTAATCACCAGTAATAATCAATACTTACTGATTTCATGTTTGGTCAATTGCAGACTGCAGAAATTGGTAAAAATCTTCAATTTCCTCATCTTTGGCTTTAGTGGTTGGTGCATAAATTAGAATAATAGCAGTATTAACTGGTCTTTCCTTGTAAGCGTAGAGATATTATGCTATCACTGACATCATTGTACTTCAGGATAGATCTTGAAACGTTCTTTTTGATCACAAGTGTGACATCATTCCTCTACAGTTTATAATTCATGGCATAGTAGAGCATATGATTGTCTGAGTCAAAATAGCCAACACCAGTCCACTTCAGATCACTAACGCCTGGGCTATCAATTTTTTTTTTTTTTAATTGTCCTTTAGGTACAGATTTACAGAGCAGAATTTGTTTTACATTCAACATTTCGTGTACTTTTGGTTTCACTCCCCAATTACCATCCTCAGCCCTAACCCACTCTCCTCCCCTCCCTTCCCAGTACCCCCTCCCCTGGAACTCCTCACAGTTATGCACTTCTGTGTGTCCTGCATTTCCTCCATGTTGCCCCTCTGATGGCCCGTGGTCAATTGCTCCAAGGGATGCATCTCCATAGAGTATGTGGGTGTGTCACTCCAGGTTCAGTGGTCTGCGTGTATATCTTCTTTACTATTGAGCCCCTTGGAGTGAATTTTATTCCAGGCCTGAAGTGCATCCCAAGGCCATAACATTGGGGGTCCCACCAGACTCCATCTGACAAGTAATTCTGGTCATTATTGTGTTTTTGGATTTGTTCCATGTTTTTCCTCTCACTCTATCCAGGATCTCCAGTTTTGATCCTTTCCTGAGTGGTTGGCATTGGTAGCCAGGCACTGTTTAGTTCTTCTGGTTTCAAGATCCATCATGTCCTACGGCTGATTGCTTCCAAATGCCCTTAGTTTTTTTTTTTTTTTTTTAACTCTTCTTCACTTCCAATGATAAGAGACCTTTAGCTGCATCTTACATGGCCACTTGAATGCTTTTAAGACCCCAGTCTCTACTCACGGATGTCAGTTGTGGAATGAGATTTTTATGTATTTTGTTCTGCCAATTGAGTCTGGTGTCCCCCAGTACTATGGTCCTGAGTTGGTAGATTCATTGGATATCTCTCCCACTGTGTCTGGCTGTCTGTGAGGGATTGCTCTGTGTCTGTCTTCTGTTTTTTTTTTTTTAAGGATTGCAAGTATTTTGTATCACTGGTATTTGTGCAAGATTAGCCTCAACTGAATCTATCCTTGGTCTAGAGTATAATCCTGTTCACTGACCTCAATCTGATCTTCTCAGATGTTTATGTGTTTATCTGTAGACTGGTGTTTGGTGTTAATGGTAATGCAATATTGTAGATATAATGGTATTAGCCTCTGTCAACTATATCTTATATGCACAATTCAGTGTCCTCCCTTTCCCCAATGTTACACTGTTGGCATAGCCTCCAGCCTCATGGCAACCTGCAAACATCACAGTACAACAAACAGACAATTGGTGGATGGTTCTCACTAGCCCAGTTGAATGCCCTTGATTTTTTTCTTTTTTAAATAATATTTTATTGAGTTTTTGGTGAAAGTTTATACAGCAAGTTGGGTTCCAGTTTTAAAATTTCCACACAAATTGTACAGTGACATTAATTACATTTATCACAATGTGTTAGCATTCTCTTTAACTGTGTTCTGTTTTTCTCTATCTAATACTCTATTATATTCTAGTTTCCTTGACCCTTTATCTTCTTATTTGTGCTTTCAAGAAATTATTGACCTTTTGGTCTCATACTAATAGTTTTTAGGTAGGACACTGATTTTATAGGTAATATCCTTTATTTTGTGTGCCACTCTGTTTCACTAAAAGGTGATCTCAGGGGATGGGCTTGGTTCTAGGTTGAAAGAGTGTCTCAGGGCAATTGTCTTAGAGAGTCCTTTTTCTTTATTGTTTCAGTTTGTCTTGTCCTTGATTCTTGAGAAGCTTGCCTTTCCAAAGGAAGCTGGAATACGTGGCAATGTACGAGCAGAGTTTAAGAAAGACATAGTTTTTAATTGCCCCTATTGCAATATCTTATTATAAAAATGTACTTTCTAAACATGAGTTTACATCTTGTATTACTTTATGTCTTGGAGTCTTTCCCTTGTGAATTACTTTGCATCTTGTTTGAAGAGAACCATTTTAAAATTTATATCTTGTCCTACTTTTATTTCAAGAACTTTACTTAAAATATCTTTTTTTCTTTTCATGTTCAGATATGCATGAACATTTTATGCATTTCACACTCTTTAAGAAGGAGAAAATAATATGCTAATGTGAATGAGGCAAAATCAGAGTGAGGATAGACATTTCATTCTGAAGGGTGGACAATTCAATATCTTCCTACTGCTTTCTTGTTATCTTCATTGTTATCATAGTAATCATGTAAAGTCATAGATTAATAAAACAAGACAGTAGGACATGAATGTGGAAGTATTCTCAATTAGATGGAGGCCATCACAGTGGAAAGGAGCCCTGGTGACTCCATGGTTAAGTGCTCAGCTGCTAACCAAAAGGTTGGTGGTTTGAACTCACCAGCCAGTCTGCAGGAGAAAGACATGGCAGTCTGCTTCTGTAAAGATTATAGCCTTAGAAACCCTATAGGACAGTTCTTTTCTGTCCTTCAGGGTCACTATGAGTTGTAATCCACTCAATGGCAGTGGGTTAATGGTCATCATGAGTCGGAATCCACTTGATGGCAACACGTTTGGTTTACACTAGCAGATGTTAGATTGTTGAGGGCAGTGGTGGTTCAGTGGTAGAATTCTTATCTCCATGTTGGAAGCTTGAGATCAGTTCCTGGCCAGTGCACCTCATACACAACCACCACTCACATGTCAGTGCATGTTGCTAAGATGATGAATAGGTTTCAGTGGACCTTCCAGACTAGGAGCTTCCAGACGACGGGAGACTGTTCTATTGTACATGGGGTTTCCATGAGTCATGGGCAAGGACTCAAAGGTAGCTAACAATAATTTGTTCTATTTCCTTTTGTGTTCCCTAGTCTACTTAAGAAGGAGTCTAGCACATACATAATAGTTACTCACAAGATGCTTAGTTGAATGCAGTAAATTGTAATTAATAATAAATACTTATGGTGCATCTAATAATATACTTAATTTTACTAGAAATCATACCATGGATGGCCAAGGAAAAGATTTTAATAAGTAAATGAGTGCTGGGTTATGTGACTCTCTAGGGCTGGTGTGTGGTGGACATGCTCTAGGAAAGTTAATATCCAAGGAGGAACTGCTGGAAATAAGTAGAAATTAGACAAAAAAACAAAACAAACAAACAAAAAAAAAACTCATTGCCATTGAAATGATTCTGACTCATAGTGACCCCCCCATTGAGTTTCCAAGGTCATAAATCTTTGCAGATGCAGATCACCCCATCTTCCTTCCACAGAATGGCTGGTGGGTTTGAACCACCAACTTTTGGTTAGCAGTCAAATGTCTTTGGCACCACGCCACCAGAGGCCCTTACAAATTAGATATGTTGCTGTTGTTATGTGCCGTTGAGTTGGACCCGACTCATAGCAACCCCTCCTTGGGTTTCTGAGGCGGTATCACTGTGGAAGTAGATTGCCCCATCTTCCTTCTGAGGAGTGGCTGGTGAGTTTGAACCTCCAGCCCCAAATGTGAGTTTTCATCAGAATCACTTGGAAGGCTTCTTAAACCACAGTGTGCTGGGCCCCACCCCCAGAGTTTCCTGATCTGTAGATCTGTTTGTTGTTGTTGTTATGTGCCATGGAGTCAGACCCAACTCTCAGCAACTCCTCCTTGGGTTTCTGAGGAAGTAGATTGCCCCATCTTCCTTCCGAGGAGTGGCTGGTGGGTTTGAACCACCAGCCCTCTGGTTAGCAGTAAAATGCCTTAGGCACTATGCTACCAGAGCTCTGGCCTTAGGCACTACACCACCAGAACTGCCTACTTTAATCTAAATTAACCTAATTTAGCAATAGTAAAACCATGTACTTTATCTAAGCTAATTTATATATAGCTTGTTTCCAAAAATATCCTTAAACTGCAAGGAAAGTCTGTGTCCATTAGCTGACTGTGAATAGGTCAAGGTAAATGGGGAAGATGGAAAAAGGACAGCCCAAGGAGAGGGGAAAGTCCAACTGTTGTGGAGAAATGATGTAGAAGAAACCACTCCCTAGCCCTCCCACTCAATTAGTATTAATTCCCAAGTAAATGGCCATAGAAAGTATTTGAATTAGTGACGACAGATTCAGAAATTGAGTGATATGGGGGCACATTTCACCTTATTGCAATATTGAAGGGGAAACTACTTAAAATTTAGAACTGATTTTATATGCTTCATTGTATGTACTCAGATCATTATATTTTCTGCATTTTAAAACTTGAGTTTGACATTTTAGCATGCTTACCTGTTTCTTCCAAATGAAGTTTATATAAGACAATAATCGTTTAGAAGTTTGGTGGACATCAACTTTTTTTTTTTTTGAAGAATTTCATGGACTCATTCTGGTTTTCTCAATTTCCCAACAAAATGGAATAGAAGTACTAAGATAAAATGAACTATGTCTAAAAAAAATTGATACATTGTCATAACTAAATAGTCAAAGGAACATACTTAATGTAATGTGATTTTTGTTAATTTGAAAATAGGGAAAAAAATCTGCTTAGTGATCCTATCTTTTGAGGGAAAGCCATGGCTCTGCTCATGTATAAAAAACATAAAAATTACTCCAGACAACCTTGGCTACACCATCAGCGGTCAAATGTTTCAATGCTCTGTTGCTCCCATTCCTGATGCAGGTTCATGTGACAGCACTGCAGCTATGAGTGGAATTTTAAAGAGGAAGTTTGAAGAAGTTGAAGGCTCCTCACCCTGCTCTTCTGTGCGGGAATCAGATGATGAAGTTTCCAGCAGTGAAAGTGCTGACAGTGGGGACAGTGTCAATCCATCCACTTCTAATCATTTTACCCGTGAGTACTGAAGTCATACCTGAAGCAGATTGTTCTGAGTCTGCATCAAAACTAATTGTCATTTTTGCCATTTCTTTTTTTTATCTTTATTGCTATTTATGTTTGTTTATTTTTTTTAAAGTTTTGTAATTAATCTAAAACAAAAATATGATTTACTAAAAAGTGAAATATTTTTGAGGCAACTCAGTGGCTTCCTTTATTGGTATTACTTTTTCAGTGGATTATTTGATTATGTCTACCTACTGACTCAGTGAAAAATAGTGTTTTATCATTTTTACTTTTCTATCGATGGGCCCAGAAGCCCAGTGCCACAGGGGATAGGTGGGGAGACAGGGCTTGGAGTAAATCCAGGCTCAAAAAAAAAAAAAAAAAAAA